TCTCTCTCTCTCTCTCTCTCTCTCTCTCTCTCTCTCTCTCTCTCTCTCACACACACACACACACACACACACACACACACACACACACATACACAAACACACACATTTCATATTCTCATTACCGTATCACTTGTGCATCGCTTGTGACGATATGGTTGGGAAGTTGGGGCCGTATCACTGCGTTCACGGTATCACATAACCGAAAGGGAAGGCGTCTCTTGCTCGAGCGGGACTGTCGGCATCGCCAACCGACACCAATGGCGGTTCTGTTTTTCCAGACATCGTTAATCCTCGGGAGGATACATCCTCCCCACAGCTATGTGCAGTCCATTGATCATTGGCATCCGGTCGCGAGGCCACTGAAAAGTAGCCTATTATTGGAGACCGAAAAGCTGACTCGGGTTTCCAGAGGGCTAGCACAAAAACCCAGAAGTGGATACATCCTCTCAACGGTCAACTTTCCGGTGTCCAATAATAAACTATTTTTTAGTGGCCTCGCGAGCGGATGCCAATGATCAATGGACTGCGAATAGCTGTGGGGAGGATGTATCCTCCCCAGGGTTAATGGCGTCTGGAAAAACTAAACCGCCAGTTGGCAATGCCGACAGTCCCGCTCGAGCAAGAGACGCCTTCCCTTTCGGTTATGTGATACCGTGAACGCAGTGCACCCTATGTCGGTTCTTCTCCCTTTACAACCGCTCCCTACGTAGCTTCTTCGACGTCTCGTGACCGGTCGATAATGATCAAAGGACAACATATGCTTGTGGGGAGGATGTATCCTCTTCTGGTTTTTTGTGCTAGCCCTCTGGAAACCCGAGTCAACTTTCTGGTGTCCAATAATAGGCTACTTTACAGTGGCCTCGCGACCGGATGCCAATGATCAACGGACTTTGATCATTATCGACCGATCACGAGGCGTCGAAGAAGCTACGTAGGGAGCGGTTGTGAAGGGAGAATTGTTAAACTCACGTGATGTATATAAAAATAAAAAAAAAACAACTCGCGCGAATTATTAAACTGTCAGTCGCTTAGCCACCACAACGCCATTTAGACCTATGTAGGGAGCGGTCGTAAGGGAAGAAGAACCGGCACGATCCTACCGTTCTGTCAAATACAGCACTGCCCGCACCATCCCTGGTGTTGTGAAGTCTATTCGGCAATGCTTTTGATCGGTTGTCCATGGACTGCATGCTCGACCGGGACTGTCGGCATTGCCAACTGACCCCATTGGTGCAAGTTTTCTAGACATCGTAAACCCTGAGGAGGATACATCCTCCCCACAGGGATATGCAATCCGTAGATCATTAGCTTCCGGTGTCCGATAACAGGCAATAAGACTTCGTTATCGGACGCTAATGATCTACGGATCGCAATGCCTTATCGCCTGTTACTGAACAGCGGAAAGCGGACCCGGCTTTCCAGACAGCTAGCACAAAAACCCGGAGGCGGATACATCCTCCCCACAAGCATATGCTGTCCTTTAATCTTCACCGAACGGTAAAGAGGCGTTGAAAAAGCTGCCTGTCAATGGAAACCGAAAATCACACTTTCGAAGCAGGTAGTTGTGGGGAGCACCTTCGAGATGTGCTAATCAGTCAGTCGATGACCTTCCACAGCGCCTTTTGCACCTTTGTAGGGAGCGTTGTGTTCTGGGCATCAGATAACCGTTGTCGATCGACGATAAAGGGACGGTCGCTCTAGGTCGATAGGCACAGTCGGCATTGCCAACCGACTCCTGTGGTGCAGGTTTTACAGTCGTGGAAGACCCAGAGGAGGATACATCCTCCCCATAAGAATATGCAGTCATTGATCATTGCGTTCAGTCGATTGGCTATAGATGGTAGGCTGTAGATGGCAGCTGCCCAAGGATAGGCTCTAGATGCTGGCTGCTTAAAGATAGGTTTTAGATGGCGGCTGCCCAAAGATAGGCTTTAGATGGCGGCTGCCCAAAGATAGGTTTTAGATGGCGGTTGCCCAAAGACAGGCTTTAGATTGCGGCTGCCCAAAGATATGCTTTAGATGGCGGCTGCC